AACTCTGGAAATGCGTCTTCACTTCGACTCAGACGTTTAAAACAATCGATGCATTCTCAGTTTCGAAATTCGTTGTCGGTCTATCTTGGTGTCGCTTTCTCTATTTCGCTGGAGTAGTCTGTCGTTCGTCGCCAATTCATTGTTCTCATGCCGCCTTTTCAAGGCCATGTCGCCTGTCGGAATTTACCCCTAACAGTTTCTCATTTTGCAATTTATGTGCGTTGGCTGTTAGGCTGGCGTTACATATCTTCGCTACACAGTGCTGACGAGCCCCAAGAAGGGCGAATGGGACGAGATATGGGCCCGGTACGCACGAGAAGAAAAACAGACTGCAGACTCTTCTCATGTTTTTGAGGACATTCACACTTGTCAAAAATAATCTAATTAACCAACTGAATTAACTAATTCAAATCAACTAGTTTTTGCGGGAGTAACATGAACCGATTGCTCAAACGCTAGCGTTATGTTTACGAAAGACCAAATGCAGTTGTCGGACGAATTTCGCAAGCAGAGGTTATTCTTCAGTCGATGTCGTCCACAAGAGGAATACCTAAGAAGGTTGCTTCCGTACTCAAACCGACAAACGCGTCGTGCTCTGGCGATTGCTCTCGACTTTGTGAATGTTTATTTAAGCCGAACAATGGCATATACAACACGCAAAACAATCGAGAGTTGCGCGTAAACAACTAACTTTGAATCATGTGGTGCCAGAACGACCTAAAGGAGGAATAAACCTATACACCAACCTCGAGAAACATAAGCTCGATCAGATAGCTGCAAGAAATATAAGAATGTCTCCAAAGAAACGTATAGCTTACTTGAAGTAAGGCTACGGCGTCTCCGAAGAAAAAGGTACAAGGACTACGAGGACAAATTTTTACTTGCAAACAGTTCTAATCACAGCCGGGCCCGGCGTCACAATATAGAATGCAAGTAAGCAACATTTTCACGGTAAATCTCATATTTTTTCCTCCGAAAGCAAATACTTGGAGACTTTAAAAAAATTACAATACAAATGAGCCTCAAAAATGCATAAACACATGGCAAATTACAGAGGTGAAACGACATGCAGCTAACAGCGGAAATCAAGCAGACCTATGACCTATAAAAATTTTGCCATAGCACGGTCTTTATACAACATGATGTGCCCGGCTTACGGTACTTTGCGACACGAAACGAAACGAAACGAAACAGTACTTTGCGAAATGGTACTTTGTCAACGGTCAAACCAAAATGCTCCCCGGGTAACCAGGCACTCCCTTTATGGGTTTGACGAATAAAGAACAAGGGTACCCGGGGAGCATTTTGGTTTGACTGTTGACAAATCGTTGCTGATTACCACCGGTAGGGCTAATTAACAATTAGACCC